CAGCAGAGCCTGAGGAGCAGAAATGATGTTTGCCTTTTGGGAGGCCTCTTGGAGCCCTCTTGGGGCGTATGGGGGGGGCTCATCTTCGAGCGCTATGGGCCGTGCTGGAGGCCTCTGGGGCAATTTGGCAATCGCCTTGCGACCATATTGTCCCGTCTTGGGCCAGTCGTTCCTCCAAACAATTTAGCGGCCCCACGCGGCCAAACCCCGAACCGCCTTGGAGCTTCTGGAACTCGGGGCTGCGGTTCCCTGACAGCGAATGAATCAAAAAGGGCACGGGGGACATGCCACTTCGTGCCTCGGAGCACAGTGGCGGATCGACTCCTAGGTGCCTCCCTATTTCAAGCATCGAGTGGTGGTGTTTCCTATTTTCTGGTTGCGGGCGGAGCGCCAACAAGCTCAGCGTCGTCCTACTTCATGCGTCCACCCAGATCTTCACAATTATGGGTAGAGGTCTGGAAGGCGCTGTCACCCCCCTCGTCCACTTGCCGAGACACCAACAACGACATGACTTTTGGGGCGTCTTCGGGTGGTCTCCCCATCAGTGCTCCTCACCGATATATCGAAGACGCCTACGGCGAATAACCTGCGTTTTGGGGGGTGCCTATGTGGCCGAACGCTGAGGCCAGGCTTGCCAAACTATCGGACCAGGACCATGTGTTCCCCGAATCGGTTTGGAACGCATTCGGGGAGCACGTGGGCACCTTGAATTCATATTGGCCGTCTGGAGGCCATTTTTATATTTTTGTCATGCCTTTTTGGAGGATGTCTTGGAGGGCTCTTGGGCCGTGTCTGAGGCCATCTTGAGCGTGTTGGAGGCCTCTTGGGCCGTCTTGAGGGCCTCTTGGGGCCGAGTTGGGCCTCTTGGGCGATCTTTGGGGGCACTTGGGCCGTCACGGGCCGTCCGAAGGCCGAAACAACACAAATGCCACAATCCTTCAAAAACTCATTGGAAATCAATGCGTTGGGCCTTGTCGTGCCTTTCTAGAGGCCCTCTTGGAGGCCTCTTGGGCCGTCTTGGGCCATCTTAGGGCCATCTTCGGCCGTTTTGGTGGGCACCTGGCCCGTTCGACGCCGTTGGAAGCCGTTTGGGGGGCCTCTATGTGCCGACTTGGAGGCCGTCTTGGGATGCTCCAGGGCCGTCTTGGAGGCCATCTTGGGCGTCTGAAAAGCCTCCTGGGCCGTCTTGGGGCCTTTTGGGGCCATCTTGGGGGCATCTTGGGCAGTTCTGGGGTCATCTTGGAGGCCTCTTGGGCGATCTTTGGGAGATCTTTGGGGGCTCTTGGGCCGTCTCGGGCCGTCGGAAGGCCGAAAAGCAGCAAATGCAAAAATCCTTCAACAACCTAGGAGCATGACTGTTTTTTGCCTTTTCTGGCCTTCCTGGATGTCCTTTTGTAGGCCGTCTTGGGCCAGCTTCGAGCCAACTTCTGTCATCTTGGTGGGCTCCTGGCCCGTCTGACGCCGTCGGAAACCGTGTGGGGGGCTCTTTGGGCCGATTTGGGGCCCTCTTGGGGTGCTCCAGGGCCGTCTTGGAGGCCATCTTGGGCGTCTTGGAGGCCTCTTGAGTCGTCTTTGTGCCCTCTTGAGGCCGTCTTGGGGACCTCTTGGGCAGTCCTGAGGCAATATTGGAGGCCTCTTGGGCGCTGCGGGGGCGATCTTGGGGGCCTCTTGGGCCGTCTTGAGCCGTCGGAATGCCGAGAAGAGGCACATGCCAAAATCTTGCAAAAAACCTAAGGAACATCATCTGTTCTTCTCTTCGGGCCCTCCTGGAGGACCTTTTGGGCCGTCTTGGGCCGTCTTGGAGGCTTCTTGGGTGAACCTGGAGGTATCTTGGACCCTCTTGGGCCGTCTTGGAGGCCATCTTGGACATCTTGGAGGCCATCTTGGGCCGACGTGGCCATCTTGGAGGCCATCTTGGACTGTTTTGGAGGATTTGTTTTGGAATTGAGGTCCTTGAAGATCGTCCCAGGACCCCGGCGGGACGCGCTGGAGCCCCAGGGGGGGTTCGCTTGGAACAGAACCAAAACCAAAACCGAAAGGGTTCAGCACGCCAGGCACCCCTGCGATGAATCGACATGGGGCGGCGGATCGAAGACGCCTACGGCGAATCACCGCCGCCCCCTGCCTGTTTGGAAGCGCCCATGTGGCCGAACGTTCGGGGAACACGTGGGCATCTTGAAGGTCATCTAAGCCGTCTGGAGGCCATTTTGACCCTTTCGGGCGTCCTGGAGGACGTCTTGGAGGGCTCTTGGGCCGTCTTGGAGGCCTCTTGCGGGCCTTTTGGGCCGTCTTGGGTGCATCTTGGAGCCATCTTAGCCGTCTTTGAGGCCATCTTGGCTGTCTTGGAGGCATATTGGAGGCCATCCTGGGCCATCTTGGCCGTCTTGGAGGCCAACTTGGGGCAACAAAGGCATTGACAGATGGATTTTCGGGAATATCCCGGGACAGCGGCGGGACGCGCCGGAGCCCCAGGGGGAGTTCGCTTGAAACAGAACCAAAACCAAAACCGAAAGGGTTCAGCACGCCAGGCACCCCTGCGATGAATCGACAGGGGGCGGCGGACCTACTCACCTTCGGCACATCCCGCCACCCTGCTTGGGTTGTGGGTACAATGCCTATTGAATGTTCGGTGTGATCTCGTGGGGAACCTCTCGGGGTCTCTTGGAGGCAGTTTTGAGGCCTCTTGGTGGCCGTTTTGTAACCTCTTGGGGCCTTTGTTTGGCTTCTTGGGGACCTCTTGGGAGCCTTCTGGGGCCCCCTGGGAGCCTCTTGGGACCTCCTGGGGGCCTCTTCAGGCGGAAGGCTCGGATTTTCAGTTCGTGGCGTTCCTTTCTTTGGGCACTGTTTTGGCATTTTAAAACCGTCTTGGGGCCCTCTTGGGCCGTCTTGGGCGCCTCTTTGGCCGTCTTGGGGCACTCTTGGCCGTCTTGGGGCCCTCTGGGAGGCATTTTGGGCCGTCTTGGGATGGTCTTGCGGACCTCTTGGGTCGTCTTGGAGCGTCCGAGTGCAGAAAAGGCGAGAACGCTAAAATCTTTCAAACACCTCCAGAGAATCAATGAGTGTTGCCTCTTGGGGCCCTCTTGAGAGGCCTCTTGTGGCGTCTCGGAGGCCTCTTAGGCCATCTTGAGGCCATCTTGGGCGACTTGGAGCGATCGGTCGGCGACTCGGGGCCCTCTTGAGCTCATGGGAGGGTTCGTGATGTCGCTTTGGGGGGGCACAGCGTCCACAGGAGGCGCAGGAAACACCTCTGATCTCACGGGGCTTAGCCCGGAAAATCCTGGGAAATTGGCCCGGGCCATCAGAGACCTACAATTCTCGTTGCAGCAGCACAGTGTTTACATCTCGGCGTTGCATGAGCCTTGGGGCACTCCACTTCGTGCCAGAGGCACGGTGGCGGATGCAATCCCTCTCCCGCTCTGTTGGCCGCCCTTGACCAGGGCGAGATGCAAGACCATCAAACAACTTGCTTTTACGTTGCAACATCTGAGTCATGCTCGGGCGCTCAGCGATCATGTTGTGCTGTTTTTGCTTGGCATGGACGACGGGGTGGCATCATGCTTTCCCACGTGCGCGGGCCTACCACCCCTGCAGCCAGCCAGTGCAAAGAGCACATTGTGCCAAAATCTTGGACCACGTGCGGGCGCCCCGCGATCATGTCGCATAGCTGTTTGACATGAACGGTGGGCTCGAGGCGAGTGTCTCGGGCGTCGCGCATCTTGCTGGCGTCTGCATCGGTTCCCCGCGGTTGCCGATGGGGGCCCTTGCCCGTGAAGACTCGGGTGTTACGCGTACGTGTCGGGGTGGCGGGCGCGAGTGAGCGAGACGCCTTGCGGTTTGGGTATCTTGGTCAGCACCATACCCCCTGCCCCCTCCCCCTCTTATGGGCGTGGCGTAATGGGGAGGCGATGAGTGGGCAGTGTGAAAAACTGGTGCACCCCTTGTGCACGTTCGGGGCCCTGAAGAGGACCCTGGCGGCGCCCACAAGAGGGGCACGACGGCTGCACGTGTCTATGCCCCCCCCCAGCTCGTTTCGCTCCCCCATTTAAGCAACGCCCACCTCACCCTTGGGCGGCACCGTCGGCGCCATCCGTGGCGAGTCCCGCGCGCCTAGGAACGGATTCAGCGCGCCGAGGAGGGTCGTCGGGAGGAGGCGGAGAGACCGTCCGTGGACTTTCGAAGGTTGCGCTCATGTGAGGGACGCAGGAGAACGGGGCCGACCGACTACGCCTACACCGCGCGAACGTTGCCCGCGTAAGGTCTCGCGAAAGCGCCCTCGTTCCGAGGTGGCGTGCCGCGCTGGCGGCCCGCGTAAGCCACCGCGCAAGGTCGCTATGCCATCGCGCGTAAGGCCCCTTTGTCTCTCGTCGCTCATGTGTTGTCCGACTTCCTGCTCCAGGTCTTTTCCCGTAGTTCCGACATACTTTATTCCGTGATCTTTTCATTGACGGGCGAACAACACACATGTTCATAGGGGGGCAGAGGGAGGAGGACTGGTTATGGGTATGGGTGCGCGCTTTTGGACCCCAGGGGAGGTTCCCCTTCGAGCGGGATCCCCCATCTGGCATTATGCACCCATAGCCCCCTCCGTCCCCCTATTGGTATGGGTGTGTGTTGTTCGCTCGTCACCTGTTCTTCCACAGAGTCTCTCCTGCTTTGAGATGTGTCTCATCGTTGTTCTCCTTGCTTCTCCTCTTCTTTCCCCCGTTTTCCGTATTGAATATTCGGGTGTTCGTTTTCTTTAGCAGCAGCATGATTTTTTCGCGCCCACCGCAGATTCGGCGCGGATTCGACGCGGATCGCGGCGCCACGGAACAGGCAAGGTTGGTATTAACGAGGCAGGTTTCTATTCAGGTATCTTTCTACGACCTCCGCCGTCTTCTTCAAAGGCCGCCGCCCTCGCGCCACTCACTTTGTGGGCACGGCAGGCAAGGTCTACCAAAGAGTCAGCACGGCGTGCTCTCCGCTTCTTTTGTCGCTCACGTTTCGGTGGCTTGGCCGAGGTGCCATCATGCTCGGGATCAAGGGCGACGTCTGGGGCAAGGTGGTTAGGCGTGTTCGCCCCCCTCCCCCTTCAGGGGCAACATTAGGGGTGCCAGGCTCAGGGGGTGTGCATCGACCCCCCCAGTCGCCCATCGATCGCCGATAAACGCCCGATATCTCACTCCGTCCAGGATTGTGCGTGCGGCTTCGCAGTCGGGGGCCCATCGCCGATCTTTCGGCGTTGCAGCGCCAGTTCCGGCTCCACGCTCCCACCCCTCCCCGAGCCAGGCTCCCCCCTCCCCGAAAGGGTGCCCCCCTTCCCCGAGCCGGCTCCTGCCCGCTCTCATCCTGCGCTCCTCCGCCCTCCCTCTCCTCGGGTGCTGCCAGAGGGGCCCCATGGCTCAGGGCGCCCCCCAGGGCTTCCACGGAGGTCCTCACGGCCTGCACCCCTCACGAGGCCCAGGGGGCCCCAGGGGCTCCAAAGCGGCCCGAGCAGCTGGGGGGGCATAGTGGGCCAGGGGTATCTTTTGCAGCACCCTATTTGGTTTCTTGCTGGCATGCCCTCTAAACGAGTCACAATAGAGCGTCAACAGGCGCGGCTGCATGCCGAGTGCACCAACGGCCACGCGTTGGCGCGAGAAGATGCGGCAAGTTTGGCCTCCTGTGGAGCGCTCTCTGGAGGATCTGCTGCGGAAGATGATCAGAGACGCGAGCCATGCCGAACATCGATCCCTCCCTCCTCCTCCTCCTCCTCCTCCTCCTCCTCCTCCTCCTCCACCTCCTCCTCCTCCTCGGCCACGCGCAGGGGAGGGTAGGAGGATGGGGGAAGGCTTCTTAGAAGGAGGCTGCTCCCCAGGAGGCGCGGGCCCTGTCGACAGGTGTCAGGCCCGCGCCTCCTGAGAAGCAACCTCCCCCTGGGAAGCCCTCCCCAGGTGGAGGAGGAGGAGGAGGAGGAGGAGGAGGAGGAGGTGGAGGTGGAGGTGGAGGAGGAGGAGTGGAGGAGGAGGTGGAGGAGGAGGAGGAGGAGGAGGAGGAGGAGGGGGGCGAGGTGAGGGGAGCATCCTGTCATCACCACTGCATCCTCCTCCTCCTCCTCCGAGGGAGGCGGCAGGGCTGCCGGCGGGGGGCGAGGGGACGAGACTCCAGCAGCGAGGCCAGAGATGGGCTCGGCAGCAGACAACGAGAAGGGCCCCCCCCCTGCGCGCCGCCAGCCTCCGCCGCGGGAGGCGCGCCGCGCCCCGCGGGCGGCCCTCTCCGGGCCGGGGCGGCCAGGCATTCGGCCTGGCCGCCCCGAGGTCCAGGGCCTTCTGTTGGGGCCCGTGGCTCGGCGCCGTGAACCGCGGGCCGCCCGCGCCGCCGTGCTCTCTCGCTGGACGGCTCGCTCCTCCTCCATCTCCTCCTCCTCCTCCTCCTCCTCCTCCTCCTCCTCCTCCTCCTCCTCCTCCTCCTCCTCCTCCTCCTCCTCCTCCCCCTCCCCCTCCCCCTCCCCCTCCCCCTCCGGCTCCTCCCCCCGGCGGCCCCCCCCCCAGGCCAGCCGCCTTTGGGGGAGCTGTGGTCCTGGAAGCCCCCTGGGGGGCCCATCGATGTCGACACCCCTGTCGAGAGAGATCGTCGGTGCGGTGGGTTCCCCCATGGGGGGGGTAAGGGCCCCAGCTCCCCCCCAGTTGTGGCTGGTCGGTCCCCCCTCCCCCTTGGCCCTCCTCCCCCCCCCGCCCCTCCGCTCTCGCCCCACCCACCCTCGCGGAGCTTGCGTTTCCCGATGCTTGCCGGCGCGGGCCTTCGGGGGTCGGCTTCGGGCTCCGAGGCCCGCAGACGCAGTCCACGACGCAACGCCTGCCGGACTCCCGCATGGGGTCGACAGTTTCAGTGGCCGCGTCGTGCAAGCAGGCACGACGTTGGCGGTCCAGGTGGGGCCAGGCATGGTTGCGTATGGTTTTTCGGAAGGCCAGTTATAGTTTGCAACAGCGGGAGGATGTTTGTGTTAGGCTACTGGAAGTGCCGTCGCGACTGCCGATGGCAGTGTTGTTGCTTTCGCCTTGCCTCTATACCATGATTGCTGATACGATGTCTCACGCATGCCGTATTGGTGCTGCATGTTTGTGTGCCGCCTCGACGCGGCGCCAGCGCTGGCGTTGAAGATCGGAGACCCTCTTGGGACCCGTTCCGGGGCCCAGGGCCTGCAGAAAGCAACCACGGCTTGGAAGCTCCACGAAAGATGAAGCCGACAGCCTTCGGATTTTCCGAGAGCGGAGCACTCGGCACGGTCGAAATTGGGAAGGAAAGAGTGTGCACGAAAACTAACGGCATGTCTTGCCCACTTTGAAAAGGGCCCGCTGTCGGCGCCACCGGGGCCGTTCTCCATTTGAGACGCAAGCATCTCCTGCCAAACAGTGGCCACTGTTTGTGTTGGACGACGCTCGCTGCCCATCTGTTCTGTACCCATCACGGGCGTGACAGCATACGTCTCAGTTGTCGCAGTCATATTTTTACGACAGCAGTCTGGTGGCTCAGCGACTTGAGCTCGAGCGTGTAAGCCAACACGTTGCCTCTAGGGCGCCTCTCGGCAGCTTTGCTCTTGTGGAGGCGCTGCCGTCTCGGGTGTGTTGAGCTACACGCGTTTCAGAACCTTGGTTTCACAATCGAATCCTGGCCCATGGACAACTTGTTCGCAGCGGCATCGATGGACACGAAGCGTCGAGCAGCAACACCCAGGATGGTGCAGAGTCAAATGCGCATCAAAATGGGCGCCCGTGGAAAACAACCGAGGAGCGTTTGCGCCACCACTTGGCATCGCTCGGACGTGTGCATCTGTTCTCGGCGAGAACCATCGAGGACCATCCTGGACCATCGAGCAACAAAAAACACGCACGAAACCGAAACATGCTGGGGAAATGGACGTCCGAGCGACGGCAAGACCAGTGAGGATTGGCCCCCCCGCCCCCGCCAGGGAAGACGCCAAGTGCTGGTTCGTCGAGTCCGGGCGCATGGCGAAGAAGGACGCCCGGGGCCAGAGCAGAGAGGCTCTGCCAGTTTCCTTCACCGGAGGCGACGATCTAGGGGGCGACGAGCCCGGGGTAGAGCAGCCCACGTGTGCAGGGGCGCCGACTGTACCTTTCTTTGGCGAGGCTCCGCTGCGAAGGCGTACGATGCCCGCCCCTGGCTCTCCGCCGCCATCGTGGCCGCAGGTTTCCAGGCGGCCGCCACATGCTCTCAAGCGCGACGGCCGAATGTGATGCGTCAAGAGCACGCCAGGTCCGCGGTGGCCGGAGGGGGCCGGCGCGCCCCCGTCGGCAGGGCCGCCTCGGGCGGTGAAAGGAAGGGGAGTGTTGGGCCTGGCCTGTCTGCCCGGGGCGCGGGTGTCCTTGTCGAGCAGTGGCGAAGCGTCCTGGCTCGCCTGTAGGCCTACCAAAGCATGCTCTAAGAACCTTGTGGTGGTTTCGAGGAAATGCTCTTAGAATATTTCTGGCCGATATCCATCAGGTTTAGGTTCTAAGAACATGGTTTTTTGTTCTTAGAACATCTGTGGGTTCTAAGAACATTTCGTGGTAGGCCTATAGGAATGCCGGTACTGTCGGTCCCTGCTCAACCTTTAGGGGAGGAACGAGCCAGTAGTTTTTGGGGGCGGCCTCGACGCGGGTGGGAACCCAGTCCGGCGGGCTTGGACTGGGACAGGTCGCCACAGGGAGTTCCGGAGCGCTCCCTGGGCGCTCTGGAGCGGACTGGAACGGCGCGGCGCCTGATACAGAACCGCTGGATCTCAGAGATCCCCGATTTGTCCTGGTCCGATTGTGTCGGGGTCGTGACTTCGTCTTACCTGGGGGCGGGTGGTTGTCATAGCTGGGGCTGGGATGTCTCCCTCATTCCAAGGCTCCTCTCTCTTATTATAATTCTTCTTATTGTTATTATTATTCTTTTTAGTATTATTATTTGTATTATGAGTATTACTACTATTATTACTCTTATTACTATTATTATCCTCCTTCTTTCTCTTCTTCTTCTTCTAATGCGTCCCTCGTGGCCCCCCCTCGTCCGCGCACGTGTCTCGCCAGTATGCGCCCCCCCCCCCTTCGGCACACCAGGAAGCAGTGACGCCGCAGAGTCCATCTCTGGAGCACACCTGCGGAGGATCCTGCTCATGGCGCCCAGTCGGCATCTCCCGCACGTGCCCGCTCAAGGATGGCGCTCCCCAGTGCCAGGCAATGGTGAGGTCCAGGTCAGGGTGCGTTGCGTGTGTGCCTCCGTGATGCACTTGCACGGTGCGTCTGGTCCAGAGGGTGGGGCGTATTGGGATCGTTGCAGGTACAAGCCTCGTGTGCCCACTCGGGGATGATGCGTCGCAGCCAGGCCCAGGCAATGGCGCGTCCCTGGGGAGCGTTCTAGGTGCATCCGCAGCGTGCCCGCTCAAGGGTGGGGCGTCCCAGGGCAAAACGATTTTCCATCTAAGTATTGTTCAAAGTGTATTCCGCTTGCGCTTCCCAAGTTGTGGCCGAGTTGTACAGTGTGCCCCGCCGGTTGTTTGCGCATCCGAAGCTGTCACCAGGGTGTACGCGTTTGAGTCACGGACGTGACGTGGTCCTTTCGTTGTTGTCGTGGTGCGCGCGCTATCTCTCCATGCTGTTTTTTGTCCTTTACCTTTCTGATTAATTTGTTGCCAGCCGCTGGACTCCAATAGTATTGGGCCCCCTTCGTTTGCCACGGCCCCGCAGTTTCCGGCCGCGGCAATAGTATGCAGGCGTGGCGGGATCGAAACCTCGCTCGAGATGGCGGCGGCGCCAGGACAAGTCGCGGGACCAGGACAGGAAACGCTGGGACCATTCAACGGGGCAGGTGCGCGACATCTGTAATATTGAAGGGACGTGTCGCCGACGCCCCCAGCCAGCCCTAGTGTGGTAGCACGGGCGCCCAGCGATAGTCTGGTCGCCCAGCATTGCTCAGACAGGGGCGGCCAAAACAACTTGGTGGTTGATTTGGTTCCTCCCTACGCGCATATTTGTAGTGGCGAAAAAGCAAGGAGGAAAAAGCGGAGACAAGGGAGGGAGTGAGGGATGAGGGTGGATGGGAGAGAGAGGGAGAGACAACGAGAGATGGAGAGATAGAGAGGGAAAGAAAGAAGGAGAGAGAGAGAGATAAAAACAACAAAACAAACTAAACAATGAGTGAGAGAGAGAGAGAAGGAGAGAGAAGGAGAGAGAAGGACAGAGAGAGAGAGAGAGCGAGAGGAGAGAGGGAGGGTGGGAGGGAGGAAAAAGGAACAGGGGAGAGCGAGGTGGGAGGAGGGAGGATGGAGGAGGGGGACGGAAAGAGAGAAAGAGAGGAGGGAAGAGGGGAAGAGAGAGGAGGACCGTTGCCATCCAGGCTCGACTTTGAGATTGAGGTTTTGCTTGTTGAGCCAAGGTTGACAGACTGGTGCCAGATCTCCTCCTGCGGTGGACTTGGAGATACCACACCAAACACTTGCGATGGAGCAGGCTCGCACAGAACAGTCGCTACCACATCGCAGACTTATGCTGTCAGAGCTACACCAGTCCGTTCCAAGTGGTGATGCGAGCGCAACAGGATTGGATGCGCTCGATTGACGGCTACAACTACGAACGCCGTTACGTGGTTGAAGATTGGTGGCGCGCCAGAACCGCACGTCAACATTACGGGCTCCGAAACTGAAGGAACTGACAACGACCCAGTCACGACGCGCACGTGTATGCCAGATCTTCAACAAGCGACGATGGGATCGGCCCTGTAGGGCTTTCCCCGCTGATCAGATTCATCAGATCATTTTACGACAATTCAAATATTCTTGCAGGTCCAAAGCGGACGCTTTCGAGTCGAGATCGTGGCTCAGTGGAACAGCGTTCATCATCGATACGTTCCCCTGTCGATACGGACACGAGTTCAGGCACCCTGCGTATAACAAACATCGCGTTGTGAAGGCTCGTATCAAGCGCAGCTTACTTGTGGGCCGAGGACAGAGTTCCGATTCACTTAAGATTTTGGGGAAACAACCACCCACGTTTGCAACATTGGCGCCGCAGCGGTTCGCTGAGCGCATTCTTTGGCGGGGGGCATCAAGTCGATGCTGGGGTGGCGCCAGTCCGTGGCATTGGGTGTCTTCTGGATTCAGAACGCGCGTTGCACTTTGGTGGGCGGCATTCTGGTTTCTTTTTTGCAATGCATCCCGCTCGGCAGGAGTTGTTACTTGCCTGGGGTGCAGCGGAGACAGTGGCGCACGCAGCTCGCGCGCAATAGTGGCGTTGCGCGGTACACTGGGCGGCGGTCCGCCAGCAAGATGTCAGCGTCACCGTCGCTATGTTTCTCCACGCCTGCGCAGTAGAATTCCGAAGGTGGCTGCTCGCCCGCGTTCCTGCTCTCACTTTGTCGCTCTCGTCCTAGGCCGGCTGTTCGCCGGCGCTGCAGGGTAGCTGCTGGCCGCCGCGCGTTCTGCCGTTTCCGCGGCGAAAGCAAATATGCCAGGCGTTCGGGAGCAGGGGGCGAGAAAGAAGAGGGGGGAAAGGAGGGGCTGAACTGGGGGGGAGAGCGAGGAGGGGACACCTACGCAGTCACCATTTTTTCAATTTGCGCATTCTTTGACCGCGCCACGATGTGGGAACGAACGACAGCGCCACTGGCCGAGCGAAGGATGCGGGAAGGTAGTATACCGCCCCAGCGTCTTGAAACATGTCCCGTTCGGCACACCGATTTTCGAATCTTGGGGCCCCGTCCTTCCTCCATCATTGTACGCCGCCAGAAAGGGAATCCTTGCGCATTGCACCGCGAAGCGGATCTTCTTGTGTCCCTGTGTCCCGCCACAGCAGGATTATTGCTGCATTCCGCCACAAGAGCAATCCCCTTGTACTTCGCCGCAAAAGGGGCCTTTCGTATTCTGCAACGAGAGGATTGCGCACGCACTCCGCCGCAAAACGGAATCTTGTTGTTATATGCTACGCTAGGAATGCGTTTGATATTTGTTGATCGGTTGACATACATATGATCGCACAGTTGTTTACCTCAAGTTGTTGTTTGATGTATGGCAAAAGCGTGACTTGCGCGTGTGTCTGCGCAAGTTGTCACTCTTTCTGTAGTGAGAAAGCATTGTTCCCATGGAGAGGCACACGTGTCCTGCCGTACCGCGTTTTTTTTTTTTTTCCTCATGACATGTTTCGACAAGTGGTTTAAAATTGTGCAGCGTAAGCCTTTTGTTCCCCAGGATCCCCTCTTACAAAAAATGGTTTCGCTTGTGCCTGCGCAGCAACTAATTTGGTTTAAGTGGCTTCTGTATGAAAAAAAGGCTACGGCAAGCGTCCGTGCGTAGAAACGCACAAGCACATGCTAGAAACTACAACACCGCGCAGAACAAAGGAGGAGGATAAAGGCGGGAAACGAACGTGGAGGAAAAGGGCGACGAGGAGGAATCATAAGGGGCGTCTACAGAGTCAATGGCTATGTTCTGTCTCTGTATCATTTGACCGCGCAGCGCCGCGTTCCGAACGAACGATGGCAGGTGGCAAAATACCGCTCAATATCTAGAAGCATATCCGTTTCGACAGACAGATTCTCAAGACGGGGTACCTCTGAATTCCTCTATCACTGCCGGCTGCCAGAAAGAGGGGATTCGGCTGTATCCCGCGACGAAGCGATTTGGTTGCATTCCGCCACAAGGGGGAACTTCTTGTATTCTGAATCCGAAAGAACCCTTTCTATGTTGCAGAGAACAAAGGGTTTGTCTTAATATTCCGCCGCCAGGGGATCTTCCCGTACTGTGCCACAAAAAACGCAAACGACATGTGTTCCTCCAGTGTCGTTCTTCCAGTATGCAATTCAAGATATTCGCTTCGCTTGTGCCTGCATCGAGAAACAACAATACGCGATGACCTTTCGAACGCGCGGCATTGACAACATTACCGATCTGATCCCAAGCGTGCTTCGTTTCGTTGGCAACTCACTCGCGCAGAGCATGCCCAGGGAAAACATGCAAACAATGGGTAAACCCGCTGGCCCCGACCACAGCTTCAAGAAACCTGGGAACGTGTGGCACCCAATCGCGGACGCGCAGGTTTGTAGTTCTGCCCACCTAGACTTGCGTGCCGTAGTTGTCACTCGGGTCAGCGCTTTCACTAATGTGATCATAGACAATGTCTCCAACCCCTCAGTGGAGCCGCGCCGCACGGCGCATCGGCTAAACAACACAAGTCTAATTACAACAGTTCTAACGCACAGCCTCTCAGAGAACATACGCCTGGGCAACGCTTCTCCACCGAGCCCTGCTATAGTTCGGCCCGAGCTCGGCGCGCACAGATGTGCCAGAAGCCGAGCATGCTAGCGACGCGTGCTCATGCATTACGCGAGCCCATGTCAATCTGGGGCGGCCTCGTGCTCTTCTTCCGTGTAGGATCGGCGGGTTCACGCTCCCGGGTGCGAACACTACATCACGAGCTGCTGAGTCCGGCATGCTGCCGAGCTTCCCGAACAGATCGAACTGTTTCATGAGAATGTGGCTGCTAAGACGGTGCTGCCCGGCTTGTTGCCGCACGCTGTGGTTGGACACGTGGGAGATCATGGAATGAGGGATCTTTAATATTTTGCGCAGACACTGGGCCTGGAACGCATCAAGTTTATCCCTCTCTGCTTTCCGCAAGCACAAAGCCTCGATGCTGTAGGAGAGCTTGGAAATTACGCACGCGTTGAACAGCATGATCTTTCTGCTCCGACTGATGTTCGCGTGCCCCCATACCAGGCATAACTTATCAAGGGCTCCCCTGGCCTCCCCCAGTCTGCGCGCCAGAGACGCGCCCGCGTTACAGTCAACGTTCAAGAGGCCACCAAGATATAAAGCTGAACTGGTCGTGTTGACCGGGTCCCCGGTGGATGTGAGCACTGGCGTTGCATGCCGAACTTGTAAATGCACAGTTTTCGCCCAGTTGGGCTCTAGACCGTACCTCCACGCATGTTGAACAAGAGTGCGTAAGAAAAACTGCAGACGAGGGATGTCATCAGATATCAAGGCGGTGTCGTCTGCATACGCAACGTCTAAGCAAGTATTCCCCTCACCGAGTGGACCACATTCTCGCACCATCGCTTCTTCGACGTCTGTCAGCAAAACGGACAGCATGATGATGAACAGACGAACAGATAATGTCCCCAACCATGTGTGACAATTACGTCTTTCCCTCCTGCATGCCAATGGTATCGAGGAACGCTGCGTCAGACTGCATTTAAGGAACTGGACGCGGCCACCCAAATCGAATTACGATGCCTGCACAGTGCACACTTGCATTCGTTTCTTGCCCTCCCCTGCTAACAACGAACAGACGCTCGCTGTACCAACATACTGTTTTTCGACTCCTTGCGTAGGAGAGGGGAACACATTGATATCGTGTACACTCCCACCCGGCACCCCCTCACCAGGCAAAGAACGTTTGCCTTCGCCCCCCACGCCCAGCGTTGGGAACAGTGCAAGGGGGGCTAAGCCAGGCTTCTTCTCACCAAGCCCGTCCATGGGGACAGGCGCGCAGTCCGCCTCAGAAGAGAAGTTGGGCGGCAGTGGCGGTGTCCCTATGGGAAGGCTTCTCTTTCAGCTGGTGCCTGGACGAGGACGGCGCGCCGCGCTCGTTCGACGAGCCTTCCCAGGGACCCAGGGACCGGATCCCTCGCGCACTTTTTCAACCCGTGCTGAAGCAGTCGAGGCTGCAGGGCCGCCTGCTGGATGCCTTGAAGCACAGCCTGCACGGCTCACCCTGCTTGCTTGGAAGCGTGTGTCCGGACCACTGGCGACGACTTCATGCCGTGAGTCGTGTCTTGCATGGATGTCGGAAGGCGTGATATAGAGTCTTCCCCCCCTTCTGGCGTAGAAGACTCAAACAATGTGCAACCACGAATGCGGACGCCTCCTCGCTCAGTTGGTCGACCTTCTCGCTGGCCCTTGCGAGTTCGTCCTGGGCAGCCTGGGCGGCTACCCTCGCACACTTGCGCACGTTCTGCACACGAGCCAACGCGGCCGTTGCCCAGGAAAGTTGCGAAGTTGACGGCTTCGACAACGTGATGGCCTCTTGTTGACATTGAGCTTGTCTGTGAGCATGCTCGGATATCCTCCGGGCGAGCTCTTCAGAAGTTGTTCGCCTCCTGTATCGTTCTAATTGTTTCCGCAGAAGCTGATGATAGCCCCCCACTTTCGGTCAGCACGCATGTCCTTGCCGGAGCCTGTGTAGCTGCAGGGTTGTCCACAAGAGCCTGGCACGAGCGACGCTTGCACTGGTGGAAGTGATGCGATTGACATCGGACTTCTGCTCGTTCCCCTTCTGGTTCCGCGTATCTCCAGCCCCGTGGATGCCCAACCCGAACGACCCCGCGTTGCTCTCAAGCCCGCAGCTCTTGCATTTGCTCTTGCCCTGCAAATTTCAGCACTGATACGGGCACTGCCACCACTACGACGCCCACCCACCGCTGCCATGGCCGTCCCCGCTCCATGCATTGCTACCCCACCTACCTTGCAACGTGAACGCGAAGTACCACGAACCTGAAAGTGAGGTGAGTAGATCACAGTAAGCGGACCAATCCCCTCACTTGATCCCCTTGAGCCCTTTGAGCCCCTGATCCACTCCCCCGTCCTCCCCCAAGTGTTCCCAAAGAGTTTCCAGGGCGGTCGATAGTATGGCTAAACTCTCGCCAAACGCTGGGTACCAGAGGCGCTTCTCCAAAAAAAGCAGGAGATGGCGGTGATTCTCCGTAGATAACATTGTAACTTTGGATCCAGAGTATAGGGACCTCTAGAAGCCCAGGAAGCACTCCACTTCGTACCTCGAGACACTGTGGTGGATAGGTGTGTATTTATGTGTACACGTGTTCGTATACATACATACATCTATGCATGCATTCATGTATACATGCATACATGCATACATGCATACACGCATGCACGCGCGCACACACATACATACATACATACATACATACATACATACATACATACATACATACATACATACATACATACATACATACACACATACATACATACATACATACATACATACATACATACACACATACATACATACATACATACATACGTACGTACGTACGTACGTACGTACGTACGTACATGCATCCATGCATACATACATACATGCATACATACATACATGCATGCACGCATACATACATGCATGCATGCATGCATACATACATACACACATACACGCACACCTACCTACCTACCTACCTACCTACATACATACATACCTACATACGTACGTACGTACATACATACATACATGCATACATACATACAGACATACACACATGCATGCATGTGTGCATGCCTGTATGCACACATCCATACAAACAACCATACCTACATACATGCATGTATGCATGCACACATGCATACATCCAGACATGCATACATACATGCATACGTACATACATGCATGCACACATACATGCATACACACATCCATCTATACATCCATCCATTCATCCATGCATGCATGCATGCATACATACATGCATACACACATACATCAATTCATCAATGCATCCATCCATCCATGCATCCATCCATGCATGCATGCATGCATGAATTCATGCATGCATGCATACATGCATGCACACATACATGCATGCATGCCTGTATATATATATAATTCCACAGACACGTATACATAGACATCTGCATATACATATGCATACACTAATGCACATGCGTACACACATACACATAAGCATAGCGGTGGAGACGGCACAATCCCCTGCCTCGCAGCACATGCAACGTCTACGATGCGGAGGAAGGCTCGGAGGAGCCCCCCCTCCCCCCGCGAAGGACACGGAGGGCGTGCGCTGGAAGTGGATGCCGGTGCCCGCCCTGCTGTGGCCCCCGAGCCGCCTCGCGTGCATGCGCTCACCGTCCGCCCCGCGTCACTCTCGGTCTCGGCCCTGCTGTCTGCAAGAGCCGTCTGGGCCCCCCGTCGGGGAAACGCGAGACCCGAGCTCGCTAGAACTCGGTTGGCCGACGCTTCTGGTCGGACCCGTTCTGAAGCTTGACAGCCCAGTGTTCGTGGGATGTTTGCGGTGGAGGTTCGCGTCCCATTTCAGGCTGGCTCTCGGCATTTTCTTTCTTGTAGGCCTCGTCAGGCCAGAGCGAGTTGCCCGAAACCGAGTCTTACGCTTTGTCGCAAGAGCCGTCTGGCCGTCCGCTCGGTACGCTCGGACACCATGTGTTTATCCCCTGGCGACAGTAGCGGGCGTGTGACCCTGGGATTGGGGAGTAGGTGCCAGCGCGGCCTGGGAGGACCAAAGAATGCCAAAGATTGCCCCCCCCAAAAAAACGAACATGCCAAAGATTGGTTGATTCCCAGACGGCGCCGGCGCGAATCGTGACGCGGCGAGGGGGGTGAAGGGGGGGGGCGGGGCCAGCCACGGGCGTCATCGCAAATGATGAGAAGTGAGCTCTGGAAGCGTGCGTGCACCTTCGGGCGCCACAGGGAAACGTCCTCGCATGAATATCAGGGCTGCCCAGGGGAGCGTCCTGGCAGGCGCCCCAAGACGCTCAAGATGGTCACACGAGGACCCCACGACCGCATCAAGACAGGCCAAGAGGACTCTCAAGAGGACCCCACCGCGCAAACATCATTGATTTGCATTGTGTTTTTCGATATAACGTCATCGTCTTTTCGAGCTTCGACGCTCCAAGACAGCCCCAGAGGCGCCCAAGACTGCTCCAAGACGGCCCAAGAGGCCCTCAACAAAGGGTCCTAAGACGGGCCAAGACGGCCCCAAAACGGTCCAACAGGCGTCCAAGACAGCCCATGAGAGCCCCAAGACGGCCCCAATTGAGGCCCAAGAGACAGGACCACGAACCTAATTCGATCGTTACGCCCCAAGACGCCGCTCAGGAGGTCCCATGACGCCCCCAGGAGGCCCCACGAGGCCCCCAAGAGGCCCTCACGAGGCCCCCAAGGAGGCCCACACGACGCCCCAAGAAGCCCTCAGGCAGCCATCACGAGGCTTCAAAACTACCTCCCAGAAGCTCTCGACAGGCCTCTTACGATATCCTTACGAACATCTACGAGGCTTCTGACCCACAACCCAAGCACGGTGGCGGGATGGGCCGTAGGCCACTAGACAATCATGGTAGTTGATGATTTGTCCCTCTTCTGCCTTTCTTGGGCCTCTCTGGAGAGGCATCATGAAGATCTCTTGGGACGTCTTCGAGGTCTGTTGGGCCGTCTGGGGGCCACCCTGGGCGTCTTGGAGCGAACTTTGAGCGTCTCGGGACCTTCTTGGAGCGTCTTTTGCCTCTCTTGGCGCTTCCTGGCTTCGTCTTCTACGCCTCAGGAGCACCTCAAGCGCCTCGGCGCCCACATACATGTGTATATATACATGATTATATAGATAGATAGATATATAGATAGATAGATAGATAGATAGATAGATAGATAGATATATTGATAGATAGATAGATAGATAGATAGATAGATAGATAGATAGATAGAAAGAAAGAAAAAAAGAAAGAAAGATAGATAGATAGATAGAGATGTAACACATACGTCCCCCCCAGAGCGTTCCCCACCTCCTGAATATCTGGGGGTAACTCCCGGTACCGCGCCCCTGGGCCTCCCAGGGAGGCCCCCAAACGCCCCAGGACGGCCTCCAAGACGTTCCTACGCAGCCCAAGACAGACTTCCGACGGCTCTCCAGGCTCCCAGGAGGCCTCCAAGAGGCCCCAAGAGAGCTCCGAGAGGCGTCCCAGGAGCGCCTGAAGAAGCCAAAATCGTTGGTTGTCATTGTTTCTTTTGAGGTTGTTGGCCTTCTCGCGTTTTCGATTCCAACGCTCTAAGACGGCTGAAAAGGCCCCAAGATTGCCCCAAGACCGCCCAAGAGCCCCCAAGACGGCTCCAGGACAGGCCAAGAAGGCTCCAAGACGGCCCCAACAAGGCCCAAGAGCGCTCTGAGGCAGCCCAAGAGACCCCCAAGGCAGCCCGAAAACCCGCCCAACAGCAGGGGGAGCGCAAATCGACAATCCCGGCTTTACGCTCCAAGTGGCCACCAGGAGGTCCCAAGAGCCCCCCAAAGAGCTTGAAGAGGCCCCCAAGAGCTCCGCGGCCCCAAAGTGATCCCAAGAGGCCCCAGAACAGCCCCCCGGCGGCTTCCAAATTGCCACCCAAGAGTTCCCTGCACGCCTCTTAGGCCCCCCCGATTCCTGCGTACTAGATTTTGGGAGGCCCCACTTGAAAGAAAAAACAATCCAGTGATCCTCTTTTTGTTCAAGTTCATCCCGAGCCCCATCAAGACTTCGGGGTCACATGGCAATGCCTTTTCGGGAATACGGTTGAACTCTCTGACGCTGTCTTGACACTCTCTTGGGTCGTCTTCGTGTCCTCTTGGCTGCCCCTGAAATCCCACGAGTTCAGCTGTCCAGCCTAGCCCGACTTGCCAGCGCGCGCGCCAAGAAAGAGACAAAAAAGGGGACCCCCCAAAGCCTTACGAGTGCTTTGTCCCAAGGTGGCCCCAAGGTTCTCCCAGAGGTTCTCGAGGCGCCCCCCAGATGCCTGCGGAGACTCCCGGGAGGCCCCCGGGAGGCACCAAGAGCTCCGCAAGATGCCGTGCAAGATTTCCAAGACGCCCCCAAAAAGGCCCTGAGGGCCATCCCAACAGATCATGACCTGTACCCCGGAGACTTCTGGCGTGGCAATTCGAAAAAAAGAAGAGATAATTCTCAGAGTTCCTTTTTTTTTTAATCAGCCCGCCCCCCCGCACGCTACTCTTGCACAACAGGCAACGATTATGGTCCCCGTCACCGGCCAAGAAAGACCCAAGGAAGCCTTCGAGGGCCCAAATCATCGAACACCTCAAGGACATTGATGATTTTGTGGTTTCCGCATTTCCCTTGCTATACGCTTCCGAGCGTTGCTCAGGGACTCCGAGAAGGTCGTTAGATGCACTAGGCTTAAGTCGGGCGTGTCCCTCTACAGGTAATAATATAGCCTGGGGACGATTTGTTCAACATACCATTTAGGGGTATGGGTTGATTTTTTTTCCGTCCAGAACCCCCCTGTAGGAGGACAGGCCCGTCTGAACACTAGGCGCTTTAATCTCAGAGCGTGAATTATCTCCCCCGCATTCGCTTCCAGGCAAAACCAAGCCATACCGCGCGCCTCCTCGTCAAGCGGCCTGACCAGTACAGGCCGCAATTTGGCATCGTTTGGTATCTCTTGGAAGCGAGGGTGGTCAAAAGCGAGGTAGGCTTGTTTTTCCTCGATAATCATTGAGATCCCGTGCGATGGCCTGCCAAGCCCGGCTAGCACTCGAGCGGCGCGCTCGAAGCGCGCGCGCGACGGCTCCATCGGAGGAGGCCGCGGGCGGGCCCGAGGCCAGGGACACGGGTGCGCGTGGCCGCCCCGGGGGCTCCCCGGGCGCCCTGGGCTTGGCATCGTTCGGACGTGTGCATTTTTCCTTCGGCGAGGGCCATCGAGGAACATCCTTGACCATTTGGCGAAAAAAACACGCACGAAACCGAAAAAAACATAAAAAATGGACGTCCGAGCGATGGCGAGTGGGGGCTTCCAACGGCGCCCCAGGGGGCGCACGGACGGCCCACCAATCACGGTGGGGGCGTTCGTGGAGGAATGTGCCCAGGAGGCTTCAGGCCCTGGGGGATTCCTTGCCCAACGAGGGCGGCGGTGATACCCATGGCCACTCCACGATTGGAGCTCCGCGGACTTCAGACCCTGGATTCCTGATCCAGTGGTTCCTCATCCAATGCCTTCACCGTAGCACGGCAGTCTACGGGACCGGTTCATCACACCCCCAGAGCGCCGAGGGTGCCTAGTGGACCGCCTCCGAGGGCTTCATGGCCTCGCATGGATGGCCCCAGGCAGGCGTCAGTGGGCGCCCGAGGCCCCCGACGAGTGCCCCGAGAGGCAAGCATCTTTGATTCCTTGTGGGTGTTTGTTCAACGTTTTTGGGATCCTCCGCTTTCGAGAGGCCCCCAAGACCCCGCCGCCCCAAGACGGGCCAAGAGGCCCTCAAGAAGGCCCCGGGACGGCCGAACTGGGCTCCAAGACGGCCCAAGAAGGCAGGGCACAAGACAGCCCCAAAGGTCCTAAAAGACGGCGCCAAGATGGGCTCAAGAGGGGGAGCATGAACCGAAAATTGCAGTTCTCCGCCCCAAGAAGCTCCCAGGAGTCCCCAAGAAGACGCCAAGACGGCCCCCGCCAGCTTCAATGGGCGCCCGAGGCCCCAGACGAGTGCCCCGAAAGGCGGACATCTTTAATTTCTTCCTGGTTTTTGCTTTACATGTTTTGAGGTCCTCCACTTTCGAGCTTCCGATAATCCAAGACGGCCCCCAACACCGCCTCAGGACGGGCCAAGAGGCCCCGAGAAGGGCGCCGGGACGGCCTGACAGGGCCCCATGACGGGGGCGCCCAAGACGACCCACGAGGCTTCGAGACGGCCCCGAGATGGGCTCAAGGGGGAGCATGAACCGAAATTTCGAGCTTTTTTGCCCCACGAGGCTCCTAGGAGGCCCCAAGAATGCCCCCAGGGGCTGCCAAGAAGCCCCAAGAGGACACCAAGAGGCCCCCACGACCCCCCAGAAGGTTCCAAAACGGCCCCAAGTGGCCAAACCACGGCCCCCAAGAGACTCCCGCGGGACCTCCCTCGACATCCCACCGAACATCGTAATGGCTTTTGACTCACTACCTGGGCACGGTGGCGAGATGGGCCAGGGGCCATTCCAGTCTTTTTCGCACACCCCTTAACGTCCTTCTCACACTCTTTGCCGTTGCAGTCCCAGCTGCACCGTTTTTGTTTTGTTACCTTGAACCTCCCCCATCTCACTTCCAAGCGTCACCACCATCTCAAGATTTCCGAATGGTTCCATCTGGCTGTCCTTCGGGCTGTACAGCCTCATTTGAATTTTTTTGCAAGCCTCGACGAGAACTCCACAACGTCCCACACCATCAGGTTCCCAGAAGCGTTCTGGGAGCACGACTGTCGCCGCCAGTTCGACGAGGAGTCCGAAGAGGGGTAGGAGAGCCCGCGCCATCCCACCGAACATCCAATTCAGCGTAGAGTTGCCCGGGGACCCAACACACATATACATATGTGTACATGTTACAAGATATATGTATGCACACATACTGACATACGTACATACATACATACATGCATATATACATGCATGCATACATACATGCATGCATCCATACATACTTACATGCATAAAAAACATATGTACATGCATGCCGGATACAGACATATGTTTACACACATATAAACATACACATGCACATGTACATGTATAAACACATAGACGTATACTTATACACATACATATACACTTCCTTATACACAGGAAATTGTGTATACATATATACATGGTTCAGGGTCTGGCCCCTCCTTCCCCTCATGCTGATGACATCCCCCCCCGCGCGATGGCCCCCCTCCACCTCGTCAGTGGGCGTGGTGTGGTGGGGTCTTCGATGTAGGGTGGTGGGTGGTGACGGTGGTGGTGGCGGCCGGGCCATCCTGAGTAGGAGGAGGAGGAGGAGGATGAAGAGGAGGAGGAGGAGGAGGAGGAGGAGGATCATAATGATGACGATGATGCTGATGACGAGGAGGAGGAGGAGGAGGAGGATGAGGAAGAGGAGGAGGAGGACGACGACGACATCAGCGTCGGCATCGCCATCGGCATCGGCTGCGCCCCCGTCCTAGGCATGACCAGAGAGAGAAGGTGTCCTCCCCGTCGTCGCTTCCCTCTGGGTGTGGCGTGGTGCTGCGGTGCTTCAAGGAGCCAGAGCACGGTGTCGTCGTCGCCGTCGTCGTCGTCATCGTCCCCCCACTCCCATCTGGGGGGTGGGGGGCCGGAAGGACCCGAAACCCATCCCATCTTTGGGGGGGGTAGGGGGCCCGTGGGCCCAGAGCCCGGGATGAATGTATCAGATATATACATATATACATATATATATATATATATATGTATAAATATCATAGATAGAGTAACCAACATGCTTATATATACATATGTGCACGAACATCGAATCCCTCTTTCTCTTTCTCCCTCCCCCCGAACCCCTTTTTCTGGCACTCCTTGCCCCTCCGCTCACATCTCTCCCCTGTTGTTGTATATTGCATCAGTGCTCTTCTCACAGGTCCCGACTGGGCTCGTCGGTGCAAGATGCCACGGGACAAGCGGGCAATCTGTTGCCAGACAGTTGTCTTGGACAGAATTTGGCCCCTGTTTGCCCGGAGAGGGGAATGCTGTGTGTCCTTTGCAGTTCTTTTTACATATGGCGTCACGTACGGTGCGCATTTGTACAATCATGGTGTAACCTACAGCAAATGGGTGCAATTGAATGCAACTAGATGCGCATTCGCATAGTTAGGCGCAAGCACGTGGAAGGCATGTGCATCTACGCGTTCGCATTATATGTGCAACTACGTGTGACTAGATGTAGAAGCGCGATTGTGGCGTTCGGCTTGATGTTATTTGCCCGCACGTTGTGCGGAGAGCTTACCAGAAGCTTCTTGATCTCCCGCTCAAAACCCATGCCTCAACGACGGGCAAAACATAGTTATTCAGGGGGCACTTGGCATTCCATTCTCAAGGCCTTCGCTTCGCTTACAAGCTCTCGGTTCATAAAGCGATACAGAAAGTTACACCCTTTTCCTCAATCATAACAATGGATGGTGTTGGCATGGACTCAGTCAGGGTGACGTGGCCACATGGCACCAGGGTTATCAGCTTGCCGCTGCCACCGTCGCAGACAGTGTGGCCCAAACCCCTGCTCCTGAAAGTGCGCCATGGTCAGGGTACGGACCGTGTCGTCCAGAGGCGCAGGCAGAGGTCGCACACCATGCCCTCCCAGCCCGGGGGCGTCCCCTGCCACATCGTCCTGAGCGGCCTCCAGATCCCCCGCTCCATCGGCAAGAAGGGCGTCATCATCAACGAGCTCCGGCAGGAGAGCGGCGCCAGCATCAGCATCCTCGACCGCCCCCCCGCGATCCCGGAGGCCCGGGCGGGCGCGCAGAGCGGGGCAGGGGCGAAACGGGGGCTCCAGAAGACGCGCGGGGGGGGGGGGGCTGCTGAGAAGCCGTCCTGCCCCTGAGACGCCTGCCTGAAAGCTTCCGATCCCTTTCGAGACTGCTCTTCCTCCAAACACCTCACTGAGCGGGGTGCTGCTGTGGTGGAGGCTAGCTCCGGTCGAGGCTCGGGCGCGCAGGGACATCTTCGAGCCAGTTTGGTGGTCCAGGCCGTTTCGCCTGAGTCGTCCTCGCAATTCTGGGCTCCAAGATGCCGCGCGCGAGGTGGTCCAGCGCGGCTCCTTTGAGATATCCTCGCCACTCTGAGCTCCGAGAGGCTGCGCGCGAGGTGGTTCCGCCCCTTTCGCCTGAGACGTCCTCGCAGCTCTGAGCTCCGAGAAGCCGCACGAGAGGTGCCGCCCGCTGCGCCTGAGACATCCTCACAATTCTGAGCTCCAGTCTGCCGCGCGCGAGGTGGTCCAACGCGTTTCGCCTGACACATCCTCACATCTCTGAGCTCCAAGATGCCGCGCGAGAGGTGGTCTGGCCCGTTCCGCCTGAGACATCCTCGCAGCTGAGAGATGCCGCTCGCGAGATTGTCCAGCCCGCGTTGCTAAAGACATCCTCACAGCTCTGAGTTCCGAGATGCCGCGCGCGAGGTGGTCCAGCACCCTTTGCCTAATTAAGACGTCCTCGCAATTCTGAGCTCCAAGCTGCCGAGCAAGAGGTGGTCCGCTGCGTTTCGCTTGAGACATCCTCGCAACTGAGCTCTGCCGCTCACGAGATGGTCCGGCCCGTTTCGGCTGAGACATCCTCACGTTTCCGGGCTCCCAGAAGACATGCGCGAGGTGGTCCAGCTCCTTTCGCCTGAGACATCCTCGCAGCTCGAGGCTCTCAGATGCCGCACGCGAGGTGGTCCGTCCCGTCTCGCCGACCTTGGGCTCCGAGGTGCTCCAGATCGTTCGTCCTGAGACATCCTAGCAACTTTGGGTCCCGAGATGCCGCGCGCGAGGTGGTCCTGCCAGTTTCGCCTCAGACGTCCTCACAGTTCTGGCTTCCGAGATGCCGCGCGAGAGGTGGTCGGTCCCGTTTCGCCCGGGAATTTGTCGCAGTTCTGAGCTCTGAAATACCGCGCGCCAGGTAGTATGGCCCGTTTCGCCTGAGACATCCTCGCAGCTCTGGGCTTCGAGATGCCGCGCGAGAGTTGGTCCAGCCCGTTTCGCCTGAGACATTATAGTTCTGGGCTTCGAGACGCTCTGCTGGCACGATTTGCCTGCGACATGCATTTAGGCTCTTAGAACATGTGCGTAATGTGGCCTGGCCCGTTTTGTTTTAGACATCCTTGCAGTTCGGGGCTCCGAGATGTTGCGCGGGAGGTGGTCTGGCCCGTTTCGCCCGAGACATCTTCGAACCTCTCGGCTCCGAGAGGGAGGAGGGAGAAGGGAGGCGGGGTCAGATAGGGATTAACTCTTTGATTACCACTGTGTTGTCGAACCGTGCTCCGGGAGAGGTCTGGGCGACGCCTAAGACATCCTCGCAGCTCTGAACTACCCGATGTCGGCGCGAGGTGGTCCAGCTCGTTCCGCTCAAAGCGTCCTCGCTCGAGACGCTCCGAGATAGTGCGAGCGATGTGGTCCAGCCCGCTTCGACTGAGGCATCGATTCTGGGTGCCAACTCGCCGCGCGCGAGGTTGTCCGGCCCGTTTCGCCTGAGACATCTGCACAACTCTGGCTTCCGAAATGCCGCGCGCGAGGTGATCTGGCCCGATTCGCTTAAGATGTCCTCGTAACTCTGTGCTCCGAGATGCCGCACGAGACGAAGTACGGCGCGCTTCGCTCGAGACACCCTCACAGCTCCAAACTCCGAGATGCCGCGCGAGAGGTGGTCTCGGGCGCTTCGCCCGAGACAACCTCTCGCCTCTGGGCTCCGAGACGCCGCGCGCGAGGTGGTCCAGAGCGTTTCGCCGGAGAGATCCTCGCAGCTCTTGGGATTCAGCTTTGCGCGCTCTCGGTTGCTGGACGCCAGCGAAGCGCGCAGCGTCTCGGATCCCAGCTTCGGTCTGTTTCGCCCGCGGCATCCTCGCAGTTTGGGGGCTCCGAGATGCCGCGCGCGAGAGGTGATCCCGCCCGGAACCCGCACAATTCTGGGCTCTGAGAAGACGTGCGCGAGGTGGTTCAGCCCGTTTCGCCCAAGGCATCCTCGCAGCTCTGGGCTCCGAGAACATGTGTGCGAGACAGTCTGGCCCGTTTCGCTCGAGGCATCCTCGCAAATCGGGGCTCCGAGATGCTGCGCGCGAGGTGGTCTGGGCCGTTTCGCCTGAGACATCCTCGAACTCTGGACTCTGAGTTCGAGGAGGGAGGAGGGGTCAGACTCGACTGCACCACTTGTTTCCACCTCCGTCGTCCAGGTGTGCTCTGGGAGGGGTATGGGCGCCCCTGGCCTGACGGAGGAGGCAGCCCGCGGCGAGTCACGAACACGCTTTCCTGTTAACTTGCAAGGGCATCTCAAGGGTGAGCCATTCTTGAGCAAATTTGGGAGATGCCTCGAGCGAGAGCGCGGTGAGCAGGACTGGGGGTCGGATGGGAGGAGGAGAAAGGGTAGGAGGCAAGATCAATCATGGAGGAGGAAGACGGGACCAGGCCCAAAGTATTTGTTTGAGGGCATGCCTGGCGAGGTGCTTCCTGGAATCGGCATCGAGAGTGTGAATGCATCCCTGGCATGGCAGAGGAACCAGAGAAGAGGAGGGATAATGAGGAGGAGGAGGAGGAGGAGGACGAGAAGGCGGTGGAGGACGAGGAGGAGCAGGAGGAGGAAATTAATGGGGATGATAATGAGGAGGGGCAGGAGGGAAAGAAATGCGAGGAGGAGTAGGAGGAAAAGGAACAGGAGGAGGAGAAGGAGGGATCGGAGGACGAGCATTGCGAGTTTTTTTTCTGTAGGACCAAACCAACTAGGCTCGCGGACGGACTAGAAGGCTCTGGGAAGAGAGGTAAGAGGATGCACTCACCTGAAGACCTGCAGGACCCCCAGCGCCGTTACGACAACCAGCTGGCTGGAGGAAAACAGGAAGAAGTCAAGCCGCACGGTGAGGGGTGCGCGACGCAGAGGCATTCAAGACGCCGAGGACCTCTGACAACAGCTCGTCCTTCGTCATCTTGCCATCCATCATCGCCGTGACCCAACTATTCATCACCGACTCGTCAAGGCTGAAACTGCCCGACAACTTCTCGATAACGCTGACAACTTCACGAAGAACATCCTCAGAACCAGCACCCACGCCATCGCTGGTAGACCCAGCGCATTCGCGAGCATCACCATCCTGAGCAACTTCGTCGTGTGAGCCTCCAGCATCCTGATCAGGTACTGCCTCAAGTCCAGGCCCCGCTCCATGTTCATCTGTCGCCTCGCCACCGACGGTCAGCTTGCCCACGGAGCTCTCCTGGTTAATGTCGTTGTTGATGGCGGCCGAGCCTTCGCCAGCAGACGCTGACGCAATCAAGTCACGC